TGAGTAATTCTGGCCTAATCTTTTTATCGTCGCTCTTAACCAATCAAAATCGATGATCTGCCGGTCCAAATTTGTTGCGGCAGCTATTACTATGGTTAATATTATAAGCTGCAGCAAAACTGTTTACAAACTTCGATCAAAGATATCTCGGCACCCACCTAACCAAATTTGATCATCTTTTTTTTTAAATTTTAGAATTCTGTAAAATTTAAAAACAAAAGTTGAATGAGTTTGGTCAGCTGGGTGCCGAGATATCTTCGATCAAATTTATTGTAAAATTCAAAACGTCTATCAAATATAAGCTGTGGCAAAATTGTTTACAAACTTTGATCGAAGATATCTTGGCACCCACCTGACTAAATTTTTTTATTTTAATTATTATAGAAATCCGTAGAATTCAAAGAAAAAAAGTTGATCGAATTTGGTCAGGTGGGTGTCGAGATACCTTCGATCAAAGTTTTAAAAAAAGTGATCTACATAGGGTGTGGAAATATCAATTCCCATTATTTATTGTCATTAGTTTATTAAATAATAATAATCAATAATTTTTTTTTCTCTTGCAAAAAATAAAAGTGATGCAAAATTTGTTATAAGTATGTTTATATTGTAAACTTAATTTCATTAATTACATGCGAGAAACCATCAAGTTAGAACTTGGAAAAACAAAATAATAGAATATATCAAATCTGTGTCACTTTGCCAAAAACTTCTATTATGAGTCACAAGTTGAAGCAAATGTGAAAATAAGCAATGTTCGATCATCTAAAAGTGATATTAAAATTAGATTGGTATTTTAAAATTTAATTGATACCAATTCGGAATTTATTTAATAACTATATAGCAACAAAGATCTAATAAGCATATTATATCTATTAAAACGTTTCAACTTATTATTAGTAATGTTAACAATAATAACCAACTTCATGCCAACATTGGATATTTCAAGAAGGATACGAAAATCCGAATCTCTATTGATAGACAAGTTAGTGTCTTATCTATTTCATATAATAAATGAATATTTAGAAAGAAAATATCGATAAATTTGAAATGAATGGCATAAAGAATGATCAATTACAAAAAGAGTACATAGATTATCGAAGAACATTACAGAAAACAAACCAAATAGTTAAAAAGAAATAAATTATTATGATGTTGAAATTCAAATTTATTTATATTATTCTATGCATTAGATATTGTAAATTGTATTAAATTTTGCTTTATATTATTGCTATAATTGAAAAATAAAAAGAAAAAAAAGCGTAAAAATTCGAAGACATTTTCTGGACCATCATCCGAACCCAACCTGGTACACATTTTCCGGGTGCAATATGCACAATGTATTGCATCATATCTTCTGACAATACTTATTCATCGGGATTTACATAGTGGAAATATACTATAAACCGACTTGAAAGCGTATATATTACAGATTTAGGACTTTCTATATCAGCAAATCAGATGGAGTTTATGGAATTTTACCATATATTGCTCCTGAAATTCTTAACAAGCAACTATATACCGTATAACCGCGAAATAAAACACAGGGGCGTTATTTTGAAGTTTAGCCCGAATTAAGCTTAATTTAGGTCGAAAATTGAAATTACACCCCTGTGCGTTATTTCGCGGTTATACGGTACTACAAAATCTGATATTTATTCATTTAGTATAATTATCTTTTTAAATGCAAGTACAAAATGATTTACGACCCTTATTTTGAAAATATGCTACGTTGACTTAAAGAAGAAGTATTGGGACATAGAACTAGAAAACCGACCAACAGCAAAAGAAATTGTCGATATTTTCAGAGAATGGCAGAATCGTGAAAGTATTCTATCTGAATTATCTGAATATGTTCAAAATATAAAAATGAAGATATGTAGAAGTATAATGATTCGCATTATAAATGTAGCTTTATTCACTTAATTCATATGATTAAATCGGACACGAATGAACAGAATGATATAATGAATCATGCATAAATATATAATCCAGCCTGATTGGCTAAAAGTTTGAATTTTTCAATTCTTTAACACAACTCCATGCTTGGAACGTAAATATATGAGCCTCAAAAATTGGAAAAGTTGGGTTATTATGTTAGGAATGCGCTATTCATTGAGTAATATTTATAATGAGGAAGAGGGTCAGCAGCATGCTACGTCAGTATATTGTTTATAAATTGACTTATAACTCGTGCTTCTAACATGGAAATTTGCAAAAATTTTATAAAATATAAAAATATATTGATTATATTATTTGAATAAAATTAATGTTACTAAGGCTGTTCTCAAGCACTTCATTCAATGTAATAAGCTAGTGATCGAGATGACGTTCAAACGCTGCAACAAATTGACTAGTTTCCAAAAAAAAAAAAGAAAAGATTATCTAATAATCAAACTTCAGCACCGAAGCTTTAACTTATGAAATTAGTTCATAACTTTGCATGTCCTCTTGACAATTTTATAGATAACTTATCGCAACTTTAACCTTATTTAGTTAACAATCGTTATCATCAATCCTTATAGATTCTTATGTTAAATGAAATATAGAAATAATGTGAACAATAAATATTTATAATAAAATAGTTATGCGATATATAAAATGTCGCGGATCATAAAAAATCGGATTAAAATGAAATAAGGGTTTCTATTTAACCCTCTAAACCCACTTATACTTGTTTGTTATAAACTATACTCTAAAACTAACCTTTAATCCTAACCACTAACCCTAAAAAAACGCACCTAAAAATTTTATTTTTCGGTAGCTTGTCTACATTTTACATTGTAAAATATTTCATTTTAATTGATTTCATTTTAATCTGTCACATTTATTGATTAAGTACATAGCTACATGATATTGTTATACTAAAATTGCTAAAACCATAAATAAATAAATACAAGACTAGTTTAGAAATATTGAATAACTCTAATATAAAATAGTTTTGGTATAAATTAATTCTAAAGGAAATTATTGACAAAATGGCCATTGGTGAATACCGCCAAAACTAATAGTTGTATTTAGCATTAAAATTGATAAAACTAATAAAAACTAAAGTTAAAATTTATCAAGCTAAAATAAAAGTTAAACTTATCAGCTAAGATAAAAATTAAATATTCATTTAATTTATAACCGAAATTTTTTTTATACAAAATCTATTTTCAACGTTTGAGACCTTAGTTTCTTTTATTTTCTTAAATAGTCGCAAAAAATTATAATGAAAATAAACTTGCGTTTTTGTTATAAAATTTGAATAAATGTATTATTCAAGATGTAGTAAAATATCATGGCTTATTTTATAACAAATTACAATATAAGCATGACAGTTTCTATCACTTTTTAATATACTGTTTGATCTAATAATCATACTGATTATTTGCAAATTACATTTGTTCTTGTATTGTAAAGAAAAAATATTTATGCTAAAATTTCTTTTTTTTAGTACACTTATTAGGTAATGATTTTCTTCAGAAGTTTCTGGATTTTTTAATAAGCAACAAATTTCTTGATGTTTTATGTGGCATTATATATAATTAACATTTGCAATGACCGAAAAAAAATGAGGATAATAACTGATAATTATACCTACAAATTCAAATACGCTAAACAATTGTATTTTTAATGTATGCCTAAGTAAATAATATGCTGTCGAAACAATTTTAAATAAAGAAAAAAATTCTACATAAAAAAAACTACATAAAATAAATAAAAACTATCATTGATCTTAGTTCTACGAACAAAATTCATAGATAGTCAACAATTTAGCTAACGAGTTCAATAAACTAGTAAGATTTAGAGAATAATACAGCAATTTTTTAAATTTTTGAATTTCAGTTGTACTTTTGCATCACCCCAAACGGGATTATTTACACTTGCTATAAATTCTCCTTCAGCCCCTTCTGATTGCATGATCTGCCTTATTGATTCATTCAATTGTTCCCCTATTTGTTTGTCTACTTCAGAAGCGATCATTTTATCTAGTTTACGTATATTTATTGTCTTTTTATATTTATTTTTCTCTCCCCATTTTTTGGCATTCATTAAATCGTTGATTCTAACACATACGTTATCCCAATTCTCCATTTTATAATTACCTTGGCAAGACTCTAAATGTGCCATTATTATTCCTCGAGAGCTCTCTCTATCTTTTTTATTATCTACTAATCTCCTTTTACTTTCAGGAGGATTGTTAACGTGGATGATCTTACATTTATTTAGAATTCTACTAATTTTACTATTTGAAGTCATTAATTCACTTTTGTCTTTTTCACATGTTTCCACATCCTCAAAGTCTTCAAATCCAGTTCTAATAATAGTAATATGCTCGGCGCTATTTTTAAAAATTTTTTGTGCGAAATCAAAAGGTTCTATTGCTTCATTAGTAAACCTTCCTCTTATTACTACAAATACTTGCTTTATCCCATTTTTCATTGAATGAATAGCCTCTCCCATTTTATACAAAACTTCTTCTTTTGATAAATTTGTATCACCTATTCCAACGGTATCAACCACCCGATATTTAATATTATTCCATTCGAAATTTATGATTTGAAAATGTAGAGTTTTACTAACTGAGCCACCACTTTCATTACATTCGGAAGTGTTACTAATTACATTGGCCAAAGTAGATTTGCCGCTACCAGTTGTACCTATGAGTAGTATATTATTTTCGGTTTCATCTTCATATGTCTCAATTTCATGAATACATTGATTTATTAATTCCGTATCCCCCTCAATCTTTACAGCCTCACCGTAAGCTTCCTCCTTCGATTGATAAAATCCCATCAGGTCAGGAAATCTTTTGACTGCCCTTATTTTAATTTTTTCCGGAGCATTATCGAGTTGTTCTTTTTGAGCAATTGAAAGTTTTTTACTCTCATATTTGACTAGTCTGATAGCATATAAACCTGCAACTTTATTAATAATCAGGGCATATTTTTGATCATATTTGTCAAAATAAATAATATTTTTAATCTTTCCCTGAATATTGGCTTTCTTTACTATTTCTTTGTCTTCGTTTGTTTGTTTAAAATTTGTCATTATTACAAATGAGCGAGTAAGTGAAAAAAGTTATAAAATATAACAGGAAAGCAAGTTTTGTTGAGTGTCCAAGGTAAATACTTACCCGAAAACAGTGTAGTTATATATTTAAAGGGAACTATAAATTCCCTGAAAATTGTTTTCCCGATAGACGACTCTAATCTTAAATAGGACCTAAATAATATCTAAATCAGGACTAGTCTTAACTTGCATAAATATTATTTCTTTATAATGATAAATTCTTTTTAATTACTAATAAACGCACAAAGCTTTTTAAAATCACTTTTAGTAAAGGCTAATTCCTTGATTATGTCTGTTTCAGATTGATATGAAACTAGCGTATAGAAAAAAAAGAAAATTGGTTAGATCGTATTACTTCGTGCAATAATGAATTGGATGTGTCTTTCTTCTTTTTGTCTATTATTCGTAAATGGTAAAGATTTCAAATAAAAAACCTTAAAATAGCACTAATGGCCAAATTTTTCACAATGAACACTAATATAGCAAGTTAGTCGCTTCACAGCAATCGATTTCGTGTAACCAATGAATGGGTAAAAGGACGTGTAAAGGACGCGTCGGATTTGGCGAGTGACGTGATATGGTTCTGGAATAGTCTATACTACTCCAAGATTAACAATCTACTAAATCAATTTTATCTTCAACAACTATCACTACTTAGTGATTGTTGGAATTATGTTGTGAATTTGGTAATAATATTAACGATAAGATTTTTCATTAACAAAATCCACTCATACATGACGTTAAAAACGCTGTTTACAAGAAATAAAATCTATTACATTGCAATTATAAACATAATCTTTATAATTTTCATTTTCGATATCACCATAATACTCATCATATCTTATATCTCCGTATGTCGTAAAATTCCATTGTTTCCTTTTTTGTTGGTTTCACTACTTATTTGGGTAAAGTTTAGATGGGTTAATTTTACAAAAAGGCATGAATGAATATATATGCATGCATGGTGCCCATCTCTAATTATAATGTCGTTTAAAGCGGAGCAAAACCACATGATATACGATCAATCAAACTATAGAATTTTGACGAAGCATGAAGAAAGCGAAAAACTTGAAAAATACAAAAAACAGCAGTCTAAACCAGTGTTGGAAATCTGTATTGAGATTTATGTTCTCATGAGAATAAATTTTTTAAATTTAATGTTCTCGGAAATTAATTATGTTCTCAATAATAAAATTTATGATTACTCATCGTTAGCCAAGCCATAGATCCCCCGATACTTTAAATAGTCATATTAGTTAAAGATTCTAATCGTTGTAGCAAAGCCCCAAGGTTATCTGTAATGTATAAATAACCTTTATAATAATCTAATAATAAACTCCGGGGAACCTAGTGGCAGTAGGATCCTTGGTTCTCGGACCAAATCTTCCACGCCCCCTTTCGAGTAGCCTTTGGTTTTTTGGGGGTTGTTTTAGCTATGAATTATAGTTGCCCCAGATTCGCCCTTTTACAACGTACGTACGTAGATATGAAACGGTATATTTGTAAAAGTATGAACACTTTCTAAAAATGAATAAATGAAAATCATTTCCTACTGTGATGGTCCTACCCGACCACCTATTGGAGATCCTTCAAATCGCCGGTAAAAGTAAATCTTCTCCTAATTCGTCGTTCGTACGTTTTTTGAGGAGAGTATACTTGTATCTACCTACTGTTTTTTACTTATTTGTATATCCTCATGTGCCCCACCACGCACATAAGAGTCGTAACCATCCATAAAAATCTATAATATGTCTGTTGTTACGTCCTTTTATCAACAAAAGGATTCCTTATATACTAATATTCGACCCCAGATCAGTTACATCATAGTTAATCATCCGATACTTATCTCTTACTTCAATTACATCATTAATCAATCATCCGATACTTATCTTTTCTTTTCTTATGCGCTTTGATCGATTCTTGATTGATCGGTTACACGCATTAAACTATCGTACGTAGATCCCGTTGCACAACCCCCGGATCAATTTTGCCGTAGAACCGATTTTGGCCGTGACACCTACCAAAAAAGGATTCTTCAAAAATAGCATAAGCAACATCAAAAAAGTTGAAAGAAACCATCCCTACCACATTTGATGTTATACAAGAAACGTGATCGTACTGGTATAGACTCAACAAAGAATCGATTGATCTATTTTATCAGATGGCCAATCAGACTCTCAAAAAGTTCTCAATATGTTCATGTGACCTCCCTCTGGCTAGCTCCGGTCAAAACTCTTTAACGTAAATAAACAATGGGCAAAATGAGATGCGCAAATTAAGCAATCAGCGTAGTATGTCATCCAAAAAGACGCATGTATTTGGACATTTAAACGTAGCATTTCTTCCTTTATATAACTATATACTCCGTTTCATTCCGTCACTGCAAAGATGAATGCATTACCAAGCGAATGTCTTCTTTAAATATTTAATAATCTTTGTTATCAAGGTTTATATTCTTGTCTTCTCGTAAGTCGTCAATAGTGCAAAATTATTGTCCAATATTATGGAGTGAACCATCAAACTTCATTAGTTATAAATACACAAACTATATTAAGTCTTCAATTGCAATTTTTTGTATGAAGGAATAAAAGACTGGATTAAAATGAATGATAACCTATTTTTCAGTTATTAGTGAAGATTTAACCGCAATTGCCATTAAAAATTCTTTGATGACAATGTGTATACGAACAAGTAAACAACTTGAATATTTAAAAATTACTGGAACTATTTATCATGAACAGCTGAATTATTAGCAGAATTTCTTTATAAACTTCTACTCTTACTTCTTTATTTATTTATGATAATAGATTCAAATTCAGACCTGGAGGAATAAAAGCATTGGCTGTGTCTCTTTGTAAAATACCAGTTTAACTTCTTTAGAACTTCATTATTTTGGTATTGAAGGTGAAAAAATATTGCAGAGACTCTTTGTAAAAATAACATTATGATTTCTTTAAAACTTAGTGGCAATTATATTGGATTTGGCGAAGGAAAAGCATTATCTGAATCTCTTTATAAAAATACTGACTTCTTTAGATCTTTCTCATAATATGTTTGACAAAAGTAATGAATTAAGATTTGACGAAGTAAAAGCAATAGCAGAGTTTCTATGTAAAAATACCACTTTGACTTCCTTAAACCTTAATGGAAATGGAATTGGACTTGGAGGAAAAAAATTAGCAGAAGTTCTTCGTAAAATACCGCTCTAACTTATATTAACCATAATGGTAATTGCATTGCGTTTGAAGAGGAAAAATAATAACAAATGTCTTCGTGTGAACAATTCAGTGAAATTTGACTTTTTCTGGGCGGTGAGTAAAGCACAGAGACTTTGGTATTAGCAGAGAAATATAATATTGGTTTTCGTCAAAACTTTTTAAATTAATGAAATGGTAAAAGGCAAAACTATTTGAAATTGTCAAATAAGGTGATAAATATTAATATTAATGTGATCATGAGAAAAACTGTACGATAATATTAACAAACTTTGAGATTATGATAACATATTTAATTTATGTATTTAATGATTTAAATATAACTATGTGAGATATCACCAAAATTGATCCATAAAATCGAATATATGCATTATTTTAAATAATCATGACAGAAGCAGGGCCTAGGTCATATCAAAATTTTATGGGGAATCTTTTTCTGGGAGCTGTTTTGCTACGTATTACGCAGAAGGTTGTTTCATCAACGGTTAAAAAAAGGGGATTTTCACTTTACACCTGATCTTATTAGTGTCGATTGTTAAAAGTGTCAATAAATTTGTATCAAGGTCATTTTTTTGATGAAGGTCAAATTATTTTTGAATAACACAAAATTTTGGAATTTATTTGCCGTCTATGAGAATTAAATTTATGATTGGGCCACATCACATGATTTTGAATTATTGCCCATAATTTCACTATCCTGAAAGTTTTAGAAATTCTCGCAATATTGAATTGTATGAACTCAATCAATCAGATTATCGCTCTTTTCAATTTACTGTGATCATCAAATTTCGTAGATCACACATCACTGAGAATCTGGAAATCTGGAAA